GAACTCCAAAAACGGACTTTCATATTCCCATTCAGCAAGGCCGCCTTCTTGCTGGCCGACTTCTCGAGCTGCCAATTCATCGTCGTTAACGTCTTCTGCTTCACACTCAGCAATTTCTCTGTCCCCAAAATATTCTCCTGGCTGTTCACAGCGATCCTCATCAAAATTATGAAACACACCACTCCAAAGATCCTCACACAGCTCCCTAACAGAAGCAAAATTGGCTCCAGGGTTGGTTACAAATGTACGAAAGGGCTTCAAAGGTTGCAGTTCAGACACAGAGACAATCGTTTCTTCCTCCATGACGGAGGAAGAGCTACTCCTATCTGCGTTGGCGTCTGAAGTGGCGTCAACAGGGCCGTTGTGGTACTCCTGTGAGAAAGGGAGGTCGCTTCCATCCAAAGATTCCACCACTTCCTGGCTATCCAGCCTATCCTCACACATCTGTATGACATTGTCGCCTGGCGTCTGATGCTTCACCTGAGATGCATTATTCAAGCTAATGATTGGCTGTCGCCCAGAAAACCCTTTGAATGGAACTGGAGAACATTGTGATGAGGGTATACTGAAGCTATCAAAAATCTCCGTCGATGAGCCAAAGTTCAGAGAGGGAAGCCGGCTTGAAGGTTGCGATGACAGATTTGGCAACGTTCTTCCTAATGCACCAGGCTGCGTTAGTGTTAAAAGAGAGGGCGGAGGCTCAGTTTCAGGAATAAACGAGTCCTGAGTCCTGTATGCATCCGCATCAGGGGAAACATCACGACGCGACATATATTACTGTGGTACAACGACCGATCCGCGGTCGGTGTACAGTAGGAGCGGCCGCGCGCAGCGGGCACGGGGCACCGTGGCCCACGTCTAATACGCATGATTACCGAACGGGCGCAGCAAGTGACAGGTGTACGCTTGGGTACACGTGTAGTGTAAGGAACCGTGTGGGGATAATGCGCGCGCAGTGTAATGCAAGCGCGTAGTGTGAGGATCCGTGCGGTAGTGTAATGACGGCGCTAGATTTTCAATCGCGTACAGTACCTGGTCCACAGTAAGTGACAGGTACTGTATTGGACAGGTGTCCCGGGCGTCCCTCTGAGGGGTTAAGACCTGGACACCGTCCTCGCAGTAAACACGGGGGGCAGACTTGCCCCCCTCCCTTTCGCGCCTACGTACTGCCGTTTCGGTATTCTCTCGCGCGTTGGCTTCTAACCCGTTACCGGTCGTCTCCGATCTAGCACTTCGGGACGACTGCGCGTAACCGGCCAGTGTGCCACTCCCTTTTTGCAAGTCCGGCCGTTCGGTAACCGCGCGCCGCGCGTCTCGCGTCGCGAGCTCCCTCGGCTCATCCTCCGAGCCTCTCGCCCGCTAGGGTTTGAGGAGAGTTGTACCACAATTATAGCGAGGCGATCGTCAAAAATGGGTCAGAAAGTATTGATTGTGCAGATTGGTAGTTGACGAGTCGGCGAAACTCGGAGTCTCCGAAAGAAAGGAAGACGTGTCCCACCGAAGGATAGTTCTCAATGCTGGAGAGAGAGTCTGCATATGGTCTACAAAACATGCTAGTAGTAGTAACAGAAAGAGATGGTTTAGGAGATATCTCAAAACCATCCCCAATACGTGGCACAATTACTGGCACAAGGCGACGGCGGCGGTGACATCTCGAAAATGTTCTCAATCAAATAAAACATTTTGAGACTTCTCAAACAGTTGTGCCCCTTTGAGACGGTTGCCGGACTGTCACTTTGAGAACTCTCAAAAACCGTCAACTTTTTATAGTGACGTCGAATCGTCTACAACAGAGCACAGGGTTAAGAACTGTGACACTTTCACTGGGTCCACACTTCTCAAAACTAGGTGCGAAATAGGCTGAAAAATGCTGACGGCTCCATCCGTCTCCGCCTGACCGGCAGCCACCGCATCCTCCATTGAACTGTCTTCTTCGTTGTCGTAGCGTTTCGTAAATCCTCCTGCAGGAAAGAAATTTCTTTAAACACGTGACGCCATAGCAAGAACAAGAAGCTAAACTACAGAAGACGCTTTTACTTACCGATGCCTTTTTTCTGGTTGGTTCTATCTTACGATGTCCTTATGTACTGTCATCTCGTGCCTCCGTTCAGTCCCGGGAGAGCACCGCTCAACTTAGCATTCAATGCCCCTCTCTTCCAGTAAATAATTTCAACATCACTCTCCAATTCTTCCCACGGTTGACACCTGACCTTGCTCTCCGCGGCGTAGGATGTCCACAGTTTCTGCGCTCAGCATTGGTGGCACTGCTCATGTTATGATTGACCAGAATGAAATATCAAAAATATTTATAGGAATTAGGGGGAGATCGACTTGGGAGATAGTCTCTCCGTATTTACTCGGTCGTTTCCGTTGCTACCCCCATGGTTACTGTAAAGGGGGGGTAACGCAAATCCCGGACAAAACGCACTTAATTAAAATTCAATCATACTTCTACGAGTCACACAGGGCTACTTTTTCTCTCATTGTGACTGTCAGCGCCTTTCATATGAGGGTATCAAGCGCTAAACACAAACAGCCTCATATCAGGTCATATCGCAGGACAAAACTCTTTCTTTTGAAACAAAGGGAAAAATGAGGCAAAGATCGGACAAATCTTTTTTTATTTCATACACTGGCAGCCTATGAAGGCATTATTGCCTGCCACTTCATGCATCGGTTTGCGCTCTGACTTTCGTGTGTGCATGCAGAACCTTCTTTGCAGTACGTGCACGAGCAGTGGCCCGCCGCTCTTGCAGAGGGCGTACACTGCTCTTCAGCTCCTCTACTGCTACGACGGCAAGAGCCGCACGTCGCTGCCAGGAAGCATCCCGGAAACGGTTTGTGGCGGCCTGAGCGATGGCAGTGCGGCGAGCGGCGCGCTCGGCGAAGACTGAACATTGCAATTCCTTCTCGATCCTCCTCCTTTTATCGCTTTTATACTTCTCCCGTGCTAATTCCAAAGTCCTCGCAGATGTCAGCACCGCTCCCTTTTCTGTGTCCAAATATCCGTGTGATGCCATTACTGTGTCTTCTCCTAAAAACTGAAGACACATTTTAACTCTTTTTTCCTCAAATAAATTCTCGAGCTCATCAACTGTCATCACGACATCAGGTGCCGCAAAACTTCTGGGTCTAGGAATCGACAGGAGTTGGGAGGAATCGACTGGAAAGAGGCCTGCGCGGCGGAATTCGGTTTTGATGTTGTGCGGAGTAAAAGACTTTCTGTACGCAAAAGTCAGCATCCGGCAAAATGTAAAAGAATCCCAAGTGTTATCTCCATTGCGCAATACTGCCAAATTAATTGCTTCGTTTAGAGAAGCCTTGAAAGCCGAGAAGACAAATACATCCAGCGGCTGAGTTTTGACCGATGTGTGTGCTGGCAGGGCATATACAATAATATTGTGCGCATCCAGCAACTCAAGTGTATCTACAGCCATGTGGGATCGGTACCCGTCCAGTATCAATAAAACCTTTCTGTCGTTCGTGGTCAGATGAGCAACAGCACTTATGAAGTGCGAAGCCCAATGGCGAAAATTGCTTGTGTCCACCCCACCCCCACTTTCTCGCATAGTGATCAATGATTTCTCTGGCAAAACGTCAGCATACGTTTCTAAGACCTCAACCCCTTCCTTTTTCGTCACCCTATAAGGTACACAGACTCCCTTAAAAACAAACATAGGTGGCATAGTGGCTCCATTGGCGCTGACGGCCGGTAAAAGCGTGATTCTATTTGTATTTAGAAAATGGCCAATTTTTGCGTCCTGGGAACCAGCTCTCGTCATATAAACACGAACATTCTGCTTCCCATTTGCATCACGTCGTGGTGTAGCGCCCGTTTCATCGCAGTTCCAAATCCTTGAGGGGTCTATCTCGTGCTCTCGGATAATCTTTTCGACAATTGCAAAATGGGTGGTGAGCGCGTCGCCGTTGACTGCTTTGAAGCGCAGCGCCTCCTATCGCAAAGGTTTGGCAAATCAAATTTGCGTTCGATGCCTACGGGTGAAGTCCCGAAGATAATGGGAACCAGGAGACCCATTTTTAAACTGCAATGACAGTCTGCGGCCTGGGGTCATTCGAGCGACGATTATCTCAATTGCTTCCTTAATGTGCCTGCGACGGAGCGGAATGCCACGTTCGGAATACCGAAACAGCAGCGTCAGAACCATGTCCTCTTCAACTGACGACAAAGATGGATGGCGACCGGGGCGGCGGGGGGATGGCACGCGAGGATTTTGTTTCGCAATGTTGTCGTGTAGTGTAGAACGGGGAACGCAGTGAAACTCGGACGCCTTGCGAATGGTGCTCCCTGATCGAACCATTTCGATGGCTTTCTTTATCGTTTGTGTTTGGAATGGCGAGGACGAGAGGATGCCATTTCTTGGTCTTGGAAAAACGGCATAACACACATTCATCTCGAAGATGCATGGTTCGAATAGTGTGTGTCGATATTATCGAATGTGTATGGCACTTTGGCGCGAGCGGGGAGTTGCGCTTTTGAAAAGCCCGCCTTGTCGCAGCGGAGACAGTAGATAATGGTGTCTTATATGTAACATGCCGTGTTCTGCTCATTGAGCAGATTTGTTTTTAAATCTATCCACACGGTTTGCGATTAGAACACGATTCGTGGCGTGCTCTATGGTTGAGAAGGCGTCTTGGCCCACGCATCACATATGTTTTCAAATATTTTTGCAGTCCAGATAGTTGCGGCGTTGTCCGAGAGTTGCGTTACCCCCCCTTTATGGCAATAATATGTGCGTTGTCAATTGACAACTGTTCAAAAGGTCTAGTGTATTTGTAAGCGCACCCCTGATGCATTGATAAAATTACCCCGCCCCCTCCCCCCTGTTCAACAACGCCTGAGCTTGCCATCCTTTCTCGCCTACCGACACACACCGCGGGACGTCTCTTACCCGATACAAGTATATATAAAAACGCTGGAAACGTTTCACTCCTCCTTCTCCTCTCCCACGTAGTTGTCATACGCGGCTCGGACAATTCGATCATAATTGAGGTTTCCGTCCTGATGCAGCGTGCCGCGGACGCCGGAGTTCTTCGCCCTTTGGATGGCGCGCACGTAGACGAGGTAGACGGCGCCGTTGAGGAGGGCCAGCCCGGCGATGCGCAAGCTCATGCGGGCGGAACGGGAGAGGGGCGGCATGGCGCGGCGGGGGGGGGGCAGGGTGGGCGTTTGCTGCGCCAGTGCGGTGCGCCCAAGGCGGGCGTTGTTCGCCGAGGTTGGGCCACAGCGGTGAGAGCGAGGTTGGAATTGCTGGTGCTGTCCGTGCGGATGAGCGAGACAGCTGGCGCCGTTCCCGATGGCGCCGTTCCCGATGGCGCCGTTCCCGATGTGTGCGAGCTTGCGGAGGAGCACTTTTGCCTTGAGACTGCCTCTCCCGCAACGAAAACGTGCCAAGTGTCTCGCCGCTCCAGTCGATCCGCAACTTATGTTGGCAACCGTCCCATCCACTGCCACGAGTCCTGTTTTTCGCATTCAATTCACCGCCCGAACATGACCCTTCCGCCACCTCCGCCACCGCCGCCACCTCCGCCACTTCCGCCACTTCTCGCCGCTGTCCCAAATACCTCCGGTCACCCCTCGACCGCCACTGCATCTCCCAGCCGCAACGTTCTTGCCCCTCCCATCGCTCCCCATCTTCACCTCCAACACCACCAACACTCTCAAACACCATCACACAAACAACCATGGTGGACTGCTACGTCAACGGCCACTATGCCGACAAGTTTGCGGGCTTCCCCGGCAACCGCCCGGTCGCCTCGGTCGACCCGGAGATCCACGCCCTACTGCTGCGCGAGAAGGAGCGCCAGTACACGGGCATCGAGCTCATCGCCTCGGAGAACTTCACCTCGCGCGCAGTTATGGATGTCCTAGGCTCGTCCCTGACCAACAAGTACTCGGAGGGCCAGCCGGGCGCCCGCTACTACGGCGGAAATCACGTCATCGATGAGATCGAGCGCCTTGTCCAGAGGCGCGCGCTCGAGTGCTTCGGCCTGGAAGAGGACGCGTGGGGCGTCAATGTCCAGCCGTACTCCGGTTCCACCGCCAACTTCGCCCTGTACACCGGCATTTTGAACCCGCATGACCGCATCATGGGGCTCGACTTGCCCTCCGGCGGCCATCTCACGCATGGCTTTTATACCGCCAAGAAGAAGATCTCCGCCACTAGTGTCTACTTTGAGTCGCTGCCGTATCAAGTCAACCGCGAGACCGGCTACATAGACTACGACAAGCTCGAGGAGCAGGCTCTGCTGTACCGTCCCAAGCTGCTCATCTGCGGCGCCAGTGCCTATCCGCGCGACTGGGATTTCCCTCGTCTGCGCGCCATCGCGGACAAGGCCGGTGCCATGTTGCTGTGCGACATGGCACACATTTCGGGCCTCGTCGCCGTTGGCGAGGCTGCCAACCCGTTTGACCTCTGTGACTTTGTCACCTCCACCACTCACAAGAGCATGCGGGGGCCGCGCCAGGGGCTCATCTTCTTCCGTAGAGGGGAGAAGCGCGCCGCCGATGGCACCCCCACGGGGGAGAGGTACAACTGGGAAACTCCCATTAACGAGGCCGTCTTCCCTGGCTGCCAGGGTGGCCCGCATAACAACACCATTGGCGCTCTAGGCGTTGCCTTGACGGAGGCCATGACCCCCGAGTTCAAGCTTTACATCAAGCAGGTCAGGGCCAATGCCCGCACGCTGGGAGAGGAGCTTGTGAAGAAGGGCTATACCCTCATCACGGGGGGCACGGATAACCATCTCGTGTTGTGGGACTTGCGGCCGAATGGTATCACCGGGTCCAAGGTGGAGCTGCTTTGTGACATGGTGCACATTACGCTCAACAAGAACGCCGTCGCGGGCGATAAGTCGGCGCTAACGCCTGGCGGCGTGCGCATTGGCGCGCCGGCGATGACTTCGCGCGGACTGGTCGAGGACGACTTTGTCAAGGTCGCCGAGTTTTTGGATCGTGCGGTCAAGCTCTGTTTGACGATTCAGAAAGAATCTGGGAAGAAGCTGAAGGACTTTGCCGCCGTTGCCGCGAAGAACGAGGACGTCAAGACGCTGCTTCACGACGTCGTCAAGTTTTCGAAGGCGTTCCCCATGCCCGGTGGTCTGCTCTGAAGGAGCTGTAGTGTTTTTCCCTTTCCTTTAGTAATGGTTTCAGTGGCCCTGCCAGTGATTTGGATGACTGCAGTTAGTTTTGTGGTTGGACAGAGTTGCTATGAGTGTTTGCAGGAGCACGAATGATACACGTAAAGAAACCTTGCCCGTTATATGGCTTCGTGCCATGGAGCGATGACGACAATACGACAGTTGTCCAAATTGGACACATATCGGGAGTAGATTGCACATGGGCCGATGGCAAATGAAGAAAAAACGGTACTTACCCGGCGGACATGCGATGCCGTAATGCTAGTTTGTATGTATTGGCTAAAACGCTATCATAGTGACCTTGTTCTCAGAGAACTCCGCTTCCAGACACGATTAACAACTACAAACGGCAAACGCCTTTCAAGATTACGTAGACGGATGTTGAGCGCTGCACGAAGACAGTGGACAAGTATTATAAATAGCAAGCATTCCGATGTACCGATGCCCAGGACTTTTCGAGACCGGGCGAGACCCTGAGGCATCGACATCATGCCGAGATTACGGATCAACAAAAATGGCAGAACAACGTACCTTCGATGCCAGTGTGGCTAGATCCCATGGCGGGCTGGATGGTTGCGTTTCTGGGAGCAAATAAAACCTAGTCCTGCGCGCCATCACAAGCGGGTCCTGAGGTGTCCGACTAAAAGTTGTCGAGGGTGTTAAGAGTTAGATCGCACGCACTTGTGGTTGAGCCGGACGGCACCAGGTCCGCCCACGCATGCCTCCCTTCTGGCCAAAAGTGAAGACGAATGCTTGGTAGGAGGGAAGGAGGGCACAGTGACTGCGGCAATGTCAGCGCAACACATGGCTTCTGTGCTACTTCACAACGGTTGGCGGTGCGGTGCGGCATGAAGCAGCAGTTGAGCTTCTTCTTGCAGGATAACCACGCTGCTTTGCAATGATCGCTTCTCTCGCGCTACATGTAAACACCACCTCTTGAGGGGTACAACCGCACACTGCGAACCGGACGCTGGCCAAACCGCTGGTCACATTCCGGAGAGGCCTGAAACGAAAACCTTGGCAGAAGTAAAATCGCTTTGTTCGTGATGCGTCGTTAATCTTGGAGCCGCAGTGCAAAACGTGCTACCCAAAGCTTGACTCTCCTCAGGTGCGATATCTGGGCCGAGCCGGATCGTCTTAACATGAACGTCTCCCTGTGCTTTCACATTTTCCTCCCTTCTCGCGTGTACTTGCACGCGAGAAGGTTGTTCTTACCAAACAAGCATTACCGATTCTTCTTGTGAGTCTTCTTAGCTTTAATGCGATAGCGATTGTGCTGTGGCCTTGATTCTTTCTTCCAAATGCCTCCCCTGACGCCCAACAACTTTGGCTTCCTCCCAATTTCCTTCCTCCTCTCGGCCGCCGGCTTCTCCTCTTCCTGGAGCATGACGTCCCCATCCTCCAGCTCCCCCTCCTCCATAACCTCTTCCTTGGCGTCCTGCTTAGCCTCGTCCTTGACCTCCTGCTTCGCGCCCCCCTTCCGCCCCCCCTTCCCGGCCTTCATCTCGAGTACGGGGTTAAAGTTGCCAAACGACTGTCTGCCCGCGCGGCCCAGCATGGGGTTATCCGAGACGCCGTCCTCGATGAGGACGATGGGCATGTTCTCCTCGCGGTCGTCGACCGTTTCTAGCGTCCAATGCGCGTCCTTCTCGCGCGCCTCCTGCTCTGCGGCTAGCTTCTCGCGGATCTCGGTCTCCTCCTTGTGCTTCATGAAGCGCATCCCGCGCAGCCGGTCGCTCAGGGAGCGCCGCCCGGGGCGGGTGTTGGTTGCCATGGCGATGGGGCTTAGTCGGGTGCGACGCGGGATATGTGCCGAAAGCGAGCTGACGGCGGTTTCACGCGGGTTGGGAAAAATGGCTACGCCGGTGGAGGCTTGGTGTATGTGAACGCCGGCGGAGTATGGGGAGGAAGGGGCCGCAGCTTGGTACACGATGTGTTTAGCATGCAACCGTTGCATGCTACAGTAGCTATGAATGCAGGCTGCGGAAATGGTAAAAATTTGCCACAAAAATTCGTTCAAGCCTCTTCTCTGTGGCAAGTGCCGCGTCGCCTTTTTCCTTTTTTTTTTTTCGTTTACACGTTCGAGGCAAGAGATCGGGTCACCGTCAACGCCAGTAGGAGTACGTCTTCAACCGTACCGCGGACGGTTTGCTCATGGCAATCGCGCTTGAGGTGCAAGTACAGCAGCGGTTTCATGGCACACATGCTTCAGGGTGGCAACAGCTTTCGCATCATTGGAGGGTTAGTGGATTCACTTCCCAATGATGCCAGTAGAGCTGCAGAGATTGCTGACAAAGGAAAGCACAGGATAGTGTCAAGTCACCTTTTCCTTGAATGCTTAAACCACTTACTGCATATGTTTGCGATGGCGCGTTTGAGCTTAGCGCTTGGCTCAGTCGACATGTCTCAATACAACTGCAACGTTGTCATGAAGAGGACACTACTCTCGAGGACACTACTCTCGAGGACACTACTCTCGAGGACACTACTCTCGAGGACACTACTCTCCAACAACGCTAGCCCTTCTCCAGCCCCCGCAGAACCCGCGCACACGGCCACCTTCACCCCGCAACAAAATCAACCGCCGAAACCGTGACCTCGAACCTCGGCAGCGCCTCGCCCCCCTTCCGCCACGCGCCGACCTTTGCGGCACACTGCGGGCACCTCATGCGTCCCCTCTCCGCGGCCGCCTTCTCGACTTGCCGCGCCACCCAAGCCGGCGGCAGGATCTCCAGCACGGGGCTCCGTGGCTGCGTGGCGGCGG